ATATCTCTTTGGGTTTGAGACTTTAGTCTTTGCAACTTTAGGGATCTTATCTATGCACGAACAGCTTGCAACACTCCAAAGAGAAAGGAAAATTTGAAATGGCATTAGAATCGATTTTTAAAGTTCTCTAACTGGTGTATAAATCTTTACATAACCAAGCCCCTAGTTATCTCTCAGAGCATTTTTATACTCCCACTAGAAGTCTAAGATCCAGTGATCAGAATCTCCTTTTAGTTCCTCAGTCCAGACTTAAACGTAGAGGGGATCGAGCTTTTTCTGTGGTTGGGCCTCAGTTATGGAAAAATCTGCCACTTGAGATTATAGAGTGGCACCTTCCCTATCCATTTTTAAGTCACTTTTAAAAACACACTTGTTTGATCTGGCCTACGAATATCCCGTTCTTATTACATTGTATTATGGTCTTGATTATTACTCTGTCTTTAGAATGTTTATCTGTCATTCCTTTTGGTTTTAAATTCATATGTTTTATTATTTCTGTTTTATGTGTTTATGGTTTGATTATAATGTACAGCACTTTGGTCAGTCTTGTGGCTGTTTTTAAATGTGCTTTATAAATAAATGAACTTTAACTTGATGTCATAAATTGCTCATGTTATAATATAGACCAAATAAGAAAAAAGACCAAATAAAAGTAATAATAATAATAATAATTATATGTATATTATTATTATTATTATAAATAATATATTAAGTATATAATCCTATTTATATATAACAATATAGTGTGTGTGTGTGTGTGTGTAATATATATATATATATATATATATATACACATAACATTTTTATATATTATTAGTATATTCATTCATTTTATAATACATAAAAGTTTTATAAAAATAGATTAGTATATGAACAATATAAAAATAAATAGAAATATTGTGATATGATAAAATTAAAATACAATAAAATTATATATGATACCATTTTTATATTTATTACATAAATATAATTTATTTATTACATAAATATTTTAATACAATAAAAATAATTATACCTATATAAAGATATTTTTATATTTATTAAAAAATATGTTGACTAACAAAATGCTGATTATAAATATTCATATAAACATAAATCTTTACAATATACAAATAAATATATAAATATATAAGTATATCATTCATGATATAAAATATAAAATAAAATGTTTAACCAATATTTGTGTGTGCTATACATTAATATGATTATTACCAGATCATGGAATGCTAATCTAATGCTAAATGCTAAACAGAGAGAATACTAAACTTATTATATACTAGCAGCATCGAACTGCATCCTACAGTGTCGTCCCAAATATTGCAAGTTAGATTAGCAACATGGAACACGGTAGAGTCAGGTCTGTGCTTTTTGCATAAAGATTTATGTGTTGCTGCCTATGTAGAGCACTGTGCACCTATGTAGCCAGCATAGAGCCAGGCAGGTTTTAAAGCAGAGTCAGTGTGTCCATATCTCATGATCTGACCAAAACGTCCAAATAGTAATCTCTCTCCATTCAAGCACAGAATGGATTTAGAGAGAGATGTGCGACCTTGGGACTCAATTAACACTTTATTCATTCATTAAACTCACTCATTCATTCATTTCTACATGTGCATGAAGTAAAACAGGATGTTTTTCTACCAGATTCTTGTAAAATCGGCAGGAGTACTATCAGAGACTAGAAAGCCCGGCCGCAGAGCTCAGTGTGAGAGCGGGCAGTGTAAACACCAAACTAGCTAAAGCCTCGATATAGCTTATAGATTACAGATACGCTCAGCGACCACAGAAAGCATCAACAAAGCCTGGCCTGACTGGAAATGAGAGAGCAGCACACGTTACTGCCCTGTGAACTGTCAGAATGAAACTCAGCTCTACGTTTGCCTTTCATGTGAGAAAAACAACAGGATGAGAGCAAAAACCCCAGAAAACATGCAAACCTGACAGCTCCGATGCTAAAAATGGCGAGATAAGAGAATTACGAGGAGGAGGAGGAGGAGGAAGAGAGGTCTGGTTTTCAGGAAGAGCCTCTATGAACTGTAGGTCCATCAGGAGGTAGAAATAAATTCAACTCCAAGCCTACTTCTGCAGTGCACTTCATCACTGAGCGTCCAATTCTAATTAAGCGAAACTTAACTTTTTTAATAACTTCCTCAATTCCATTAAAAGCCATTATGCTAAATTGCTCTGGTTTTATTCCTCTGAATAACCACTAGAATTAACATCGCCCGCAAACTCCTGATTCCAACCTAGATCTCCATTATAGATAAGCGCAGGTGACTCACGTAATCTAAGATTAATCATCCTGTTAGCTACACATGAATGTTTGGATTCGTCACATGCTGCTGTATGGGATTGGTTATCTGGGCCATTTTTAGTAAACGTCTGTCGACGTCTTACAGGTGGTCACACTAGATTTTGTTTCTCACTTGCAGTCATATGCTTGCAAATGCAGTGTTTATTACAGAAAACATCTGAAAAGACTAGTATGTAGTACAATATGTAAAATAAATTACGAGACGCTTGCCTAGTATTTGTGAAAAGACGCCAGCCTAAGTAGTATCTTTACATTTTAAAAGTTGTCGTTTCACGTGGTTGTCTACTTTTCTTTGTGGACCCCGGGGTTATTATCACTAACTAAAACTATTAAAAACATTTCAAATTGAAATAAAGTGGATATTATTAATGCATATAAAAAATTATATATTTGTGTGTGCTATGCATTCATATGATTTAAATTTAAATAAAGTGGATATAAATTAAATTATAATATTTTTGAAATTATGATGAAATTAAATGATTAAATGTATGATAAGTTTATGATATACAATAAATAAAATTATATATTTGTTTGTGTTATGCATTAATATGACTATTAATCATAGTAATGCAATCATCTTAATGCATATAAAAAATTATATATTTGTGTGTGCTATGCATTCATATGATTTAAATTTAAATAAAGTGGATATAAATTAAATTATAATATTTTTGAAATTATGATGAAATTAAATGATTAAATGTATGATAGGTTTATGATATACAAGAAATAAAATTATATATTTGTTTGTGTTATGCATTAATATGACTATTAATCATATTAATGCAATCATATTAATGCATTTAAAATATATATATATTTGTGTGTGCTATGCATTCATATGATTATTAGTGAAAACTAAAACTATTAAACTATTAACTACAACTAAAACTATTAAAAACATTTGTATTTGTTGAAATCTGATATAAATTAAATTATAATTTTTAGATGAAAAAATTAGAAATGATACCTTGGCAACTATATGTAAGCACTAACTGGAAAAAACTAATGAAAAAATTAATTACGTCTATTTTTAATATTAAAAAAAATATATAAACATTCAAATATATTTTAATATAAAAATGACAAAAACACTAAAACTGAAATGAATTTATATTAAAATGAACTTAAACATGGAAATATAAAAATAAAAGCTCATTCAAAATATTAACAAAATTATTAACACATAATTATTATATAATACTATATTATAAATAATGAAATATCACTGGACCATGGAGAGTGACATCATATCCTTTTGCCCTCATTGACTACAGGGTCACTTTCTAGACCTAAAACTAATTATTGAAGTTCATAATCACTACATTCATCAAAACCTCGCATCTGAGGCTGTAACTGACCTTGGTGAGGTAGTCATGGATGTTAAGTGTTGCTAGTTTAGTGAGGTGGCCGTTGAGTCCCAGTGCCATGAGGAAACCGGCATATTCGTTGGCCAGGTCAGCACTTTTGGGTTTGTTGTACGCAATCCAGGCAGATTCCACCTGAGAAGCAGGAGCGATCTTAAGACCAGCCGCCACACCGTTGTGAAAGCTGGGCCAGCAGGTCATGTTGGGCGGCACGTCGATGTTACCGCTGTTCAGATCCACCATGGTGTTCCTGGGAGGAGCGCGGCCTGGTGGAGAAGACAAAAGAGAAGGGACATTATTCACGCTGCATTGTTAGCTGGGTTCAGCAAAAATAACACATAAAATAAGAAAATGGTGGGAAAGTGAGGAAAGACATAAAAAGGCAGCATTTAGTGCCCTTTAGCTAGTAAATTACAGAGGAAGAGGTTTTTCAATAAAAATGATACTATAAAGCATGAACTTGCTGAAAATGTCCGTGCTTTCCATGCAAAACTTGCAATTGCAATGCATGGGTGTTGTGGGTGCATTTAAAAAAATAATTACGCTCAAATTTATGATTTATGTATTTGAATTGCATATAAAATTTCCATCCATTTGGATCACAGTTTTTAACTACATAAATTAATGTGATGCAAATTTGTCAGTCATAGAACTAAAAAACTGGGTCTGTTTTAAAAACACAATAACCACGTTTATATATTCATCATCAATAAATCCCATTTGTTTCAATCTCAAACATTATATAACTGAATATTGCTTGTTCAACAGCTAGCTACAGTTTCACAATGTTCATACTGTTTAACCAAATACACTGATCTGTTTTCATAATGATCAGATTTATTATGATTCTAAGCCATTTGGATAAATGCATTTTGAAAACATGATTTCTTTTTAAGAAATACCAAATCAAAAATCAGATGCAGATAGTAAATATGCACTAGATAGAGTGCAGAAATCTTGCCTGTTTCTTACCTGGTTCATTCATGTATGACTGACAAATATGATTCGCATTACGTTTAATATTTTTTTATATTAAAATTAGTGCTGGGCAACGATTAATCGTGATTAACCGCATCCAAAATAAAAGTGTTTGTGTACATAATATATGTGTATGTACTGTGTATATATATATATTATGTATATATAAATACACACACATGCATGTATATATTTAAGAAAAATATGTTATTTTTATATATTAAATATATTTATATATAATATAAATTATATGAATATAAATGTAAATACATATAAATATTTCTAAATAAACAGTATACTGTATGTGTGTATCTTTATATATACACATAATAAATATACACAGTACACACACATACTAAATAAACAAAAACGTTTATTTTGGATGTGATTAATCATTGCCCAGCACTAGTTAAAATGGAAATACGCAATTCAAATACATAAATCTTACATTTTTGAATATTTTTTTGAGTGTGGTCGCTAGAGTGTTGCTACGCAGTTGCTAGGGTGTTCTGTTTCATTACTTAGTAGCCCAGTTTGAAAAAGGCCATTCAGAAGTCGGCATGATATTTTTGTTGTTCAAATCCCAATATATGAGCAATGGTGATGCTTGCCTTAAAAAACAGCAAAGACCACTAAGGGTCCTGGGCAAACGTTTTCTTTTCAACTGACGTGAAATTGTTGAAGATAGTGAAAGATATAACGCTGTGGTGGGAATGGTGGGAGGTTTGCAACGTCTGGGCACAGTTACTGCCAAACAAAATTCAACAGGGCTCTTAAAAACTTCGTAGTTCGTAGCCCTGTAAAACTATTCATTAGGACACTTCAAAAGCATGGGCGGTGGTTTATGAGAGTACCAGTCAGGTTGAGTTTGGGCACAGGGAGTGGTTCGGTTGGCACAGGGTGGTATGAGAAAAGAGTGAAGAGTCCCCGTCCCACCGGAAGAGCCATGGTGCGCTGGCACAACTGCAGCAGCCTGCAACAAAAATAAGAAGAGCAATGCTGAATTTAAGTGTAGAGAATGGCACAGATTTAGAGAAGAACAGGGCGCATTTCAGCATATTTGTGTTTACTTTCTTCACTTAGAAGAAACCTACACTCTTAAAAATAGGAAGGTTAAAAAAGCAGGTTTTTGCAGCAACACTTTTAAAAATGAAGGGCAGTTATTAGCAGCGAAGCCACAGAAGAATCTTTTACAATTTAAAAAAAAAATCTTTTTTTTTTCTAATATAAAGAACTTTTTTCCACCATACACTCTTAAAAATAAAGCTTTTTTATTGGCATTGATTGAATCTTTCCAGAAAATCCATGGAATCTTTTCATTGCACAAAAGACTCTTCATAGTAAAAAAAAAAAAAAAAGGTTCTTTAGATTTTTACAATGTTCTTCAAACTAAGAAAAAAACGGTTCTTTTATGCAATGTTTACTGAGAGGTTCTTTAGGGGAACCACAAATGGCTCTTCTTTTTTTTTTTTTTGTTTATTGTGAACATTCATTTGAGTGCAATCATGTAGCATATTTCAAGTTACATACAATGCTCAATGCAACCATAGAGTATCTTGTACAATCATGTACAATTACCTAGTATGTTTTAACTATAAATTATACTCAACCTCCTTTAAATCGTTTCAAAGTATAACCTGCTTTCCTTTTTACAAAGAAAAGTAACATTAAAATAAAATGTATAAAAAAAAAACTACATACATCCAGGGTGAGAACATGTGTCCTAATTCAATTCCATCCAGAATAACCTCAAATGACCTTCATTATGTATATAGATATTAAACAGAGTACATGCATATTCGCAAACATGTACATATACACACACAAGCATATATTATATTACATATATCTATCTATATATTGATCATCTTTTATTTATTTATAACAACAAAATCAGACCTTCTTTCTGATACATATTCAACCCATTTCCTCCAGTTTCCCAGAAACGCATCCTTTAAATTAACCAAAAAAGAGATTTTTTCCATCGTATAAATCTCTATGGTCAAATCTATCCAATAGTCTAAAGTTGGTCTCTCTTGTTTTAACCATTTATGTGTGATTGCTTTCTTGCTGGCTGCCAAAAGCACACCCATCAGGTATTTATTATCTGCTGTTACTATATCTGGATATACACAGCCAAAATACAACAATTTGCTTTCTAGAGGTATGTCTCTTCTAAAAAATATATTCAAGAGCCTCCTGTATTTCTTTCCAGTATTCTTGAATATGTAGGCATTCCCAAAATATGTGATAATGGTTTGCTTCATTAAATCCACAGTTTGCCAACATTTTGGAGATATACTACTGTATTTGGCCATTTGTACTGGTGTTTTAAACACAAATGGCATCGCTGAAAAAAAAAAAAACCTTTTGGAATCTTTACATTTAAAATTATTTTTTGTGCTTAGGTTCTTTGGATGTTAAAGGTTCTACATGGAACCATAGATGCCAATAAAGAACCTTTATTTTTAAGAGTAAAAGTTATAGAAGAACTGTCTTTGGCTCTCCAAAGAACCTTTCTGTGAACAGTTCCTAAAATAACCCCTTTTTCCTAATCTAAAGAACCTTTTTCCACTATAAAGAACTATTTGTGGAATAGAAAGGTTCCATGGATGTTAAAGGTTCTTAATGGAACCATAGATGCCAATAAAGAACATTTTGTTTTAAGAATAGAAATTTATAGAAGAACTGTCTTTGGTTCTCCAAAGAACCTTCCTGTGAACAGTTTCTAAAAGAACCCTTTTTCCCTAATGTAAAGAACCCTTTTCCACTATAAAGAACCTTTTGTGGAATAGAAAGGTTCCTTGGATGTTAAAGGTTCTACATGGAACCATAGATGCCAATAAAGATCCTTTATTTTTAAGAGTAAAAGTTATAGAAGAGCTGTCTTTGGCTCTCCAAAGAACCTTTCGGTGAACAGTTCCTAAAAGAACCCTTTTTTTCCTAATCTAAAGAACCTTTTTCCACTATAAAGAATCGAGTCAGTTAGAAATACCAAGGGTTCACACAAAACAAAGGGGGTTCGGTTTTAGTTATTATGCCGCCCGCAGTTGGAATCAGCTTCCAGAAGAGATCAGATGTGCTAAAACATTAGTCACATTTAAATGCAGACTCAAAACTCATCTGTTTAGCTGTGCATTTATTGAATGAGCACTGTGCAACGTCCGAAATGATTGCACTATATTTGATGTATAATCATTTTCTATTCATAACTGTTTTAAATTAATTTTAAACCTCTTAAATCAATTTTTAAATCATTTTCAAAGTTTTTAAATTCCTTGTTTTATTGTTATTATTATTTTCTTTCCTTTTATGTAAAGCACTTTGAATTACCATTGTGTATGAAATGTGCTATATAAATAAGCTTGCCTTGCCTTGCTCCTAATCTAAAGAACCTTTTTCCACTATAAAGAACTATTTGTGGAATAGAAAGGCTCCGTGGATGTTAAAGGTTCTTAATGGAACCATAGATGCCAATAAAGAACATTTTGTTTTAATACAGAGTATGCTCACTTGTTCTCCTTCTCCTCTATGTACTCATGGTCACTGACTTCAGGCAGGTGGGGCACATTGACCCGGATGGGTCTGGAGCTCTGGAGCAGACGGCGGACCTCCTGCACCCTCAGATCCTGACTCCAGATCAGCCCCGTCACCTCTGGGTGCAGGTCTGTCATACCATCCTCCTCCTCGTCGGCTTCACTGGTGACTGGTGGCTCAAGCATAACATTCAGACCCACAGTCTAGAGAAAACACAAACACACTGAATGAACAATGAAATTACATTGTCCTTGAGTGTGGACAATTCAGTTCTTTTATAATTACTTTATAATGCAGCATTCACTTCATCAATTCAGAATTACAGTAATTACACTAGAAAATACTGGTCTTAAATACCATATTCAAGTCTTCGGCTCTATTCAGACAGTAGTTGTTTTAACTGGGGACGGGAGTTATTTTCAGCAAAGCCACCATCCAGGAGACAATAATTCAACATTGTTTTTAGAAAGGCAAAAATAGCTTTATAAATTTGTTTTGAGCCCTGCTAAGTGCCCTAGGTTTCTATTTGACACTTTGTATGATAATGAATACGCAAGTGTGAAGACATGAATAATATAAGTAGCATTAGAAGCACGATCAAAATGAAAGCAACAGTTAAAATAGTCAGGCACCTTTTGTCAAATGTTTTTTGTCTTATATGACTTATTCTTTTACTATTGTCTTAATACAGTATAATTTACATTTTATCTAGTAAAAACAGTGCTGCTATTGTTAACTAAATCTATGTTGAGCATTATTAAAAATACTTTTCGGTAACTGAAATAAAGCTGAAATAAAATAAAATATCAAATGAAAAACTTGACCTTAAACAATTTGAAGCTGAAGTACTAAAATTACTAAAACTGAAAAATAAAGCTACATGAATTTTTTTTTTTTAAAAAGCACTAAAACTAATTAAAATTACAAAAGCACAAATTAATCAAAAATTTGAATGAAAACTGAAAATATAAAAATAAAAACTAATTCAAAATATTAATACTAGTACTCATTAATACTAATACATTAACACTTTTCATAATAATAAACCAATAATAATAAAATTAAAATGGCAAAGCAAGATCTAGTTTCTTTACATCTGATTTACTTTCTCACCGATTTACGATTGGCCAGGGTCACTTTGTGAGCTTGTCTGGTCAGGTCCTGTCGTCCAATCAGAGCGCAGACCTCCTCAGACCAATCAGAGCAGGGATGCTCTCTGCACAGGTAGATGGCGTCTCTGATTGGCAGAGCCACACCAAATGGAACCGACTCCAGATCCTTCAGTGTAAATCCTGAGGTGTAAAAAAGCAAACAAAAAACAAGCATGCAAAATAGTGTTTAGTCACATATCCCGTAACAGGATATAAGATCTTATATATCTAATCTAATGTAAACTAAGCTAAACCAACAGAGGCTGCAGGATCTGAGCAGGTGGATTTTGACCAGACGTCTACATTCAAAGCTAAATTTAATAGAAATTTAGGAGCTTTAGTAGGATTGTGAGTCCAGTATAAAGTCTGAAACATACTTTACACATGTACTTGAATGCAAATTCCATTTTACTTATGTTGTTTTCTGAAACAGGTCCAAATGGAAGTACGCACTGAATTGTTCTGTCTTTCTCCTTCAGGTAAACTACTGTCACAGCATAGCAACATAATCATGCAAAGTAAAATTTAAGTAGAACTGTTTACATGTTTATATCTAGCTTATCCGAATGAACGAAAGATACGATACGATACGATACGATACGATATCGATTCTCATACCCAGCGATACGATTTTGATGCGATTCAATACAGGAGAATATCGATCGATATATCGATACTATTATATTATATACCTATTTTAAACAACCATCTACATTTTTATTAACTTTACAAATGCAACCAAAACATATAACATGAACATTTATCTTAAATTTTCACATCCTGTTCCTCAATTGGGACATTCACAACAAAAAATAGGCCTACAGTTTTTGTTTTTTTTAATAATAAAGAAAAATAAATAATTGAAAAAAAGACAATCTTAAGATATGACAACAGTCAAGACAGTCTTTCAGGCTTCTGTGCTAAAATATGCAATGTGTAAAATTATGTAAATCCTCATTAGGAACAACACAAACGAGGTACTCCAGTTGTAGGAAAAAATACATTAAAGGGGTCATATGATGTTGCTAAAAAGAACATTATTTTGTGTATTTGGTGTAATGAAATGTGTTTATGCGGTTTAAAGTTCAAAAAACACATTATTTTCCACATACTGTACATTATTGTTTCTCCTCTATGCCCCGCCTTTTTGAAACGC